GGTCATTTGATTGAGGTGTGTTGGAATTTCTGCCTTTGTTCCTTTTGCTGTTTTCCTCAGGGCAGGAAAATCTAGTAAAACTGCCTTGTTTAAAATCAGGGAGTTCAAAGACAAATTGTCAATTTTAATTTAACATAGTTCCTTTTGAGACGTTTTATAGTCTGCAGATACAGTAGGCATCTGGTGTACAGCCAACAGGAAGATGCGGTGTTTTAAAAGACTCCAGAAATTATAATTTCAAACCAGAGAATCTCCAGTTATATGTGCTATTGAGTACTTGATGGGATTTTACATTAGTTTAAACAGGGATCATAGGGGGAAGCTATCGAATAGTGTACAGCCCCCGAGATACAGGCTGGAAATACACCAACTGTGGGAAACTGTCAGAGTGTAACAGAAAGAATGTTTCTGCTTGATTATTTTTAACAGGGAGTCCAAAATGGCATTCATCTTTACTTTCTGGCATGAGAAGGCTGCATGAGACTGGTAGGGAAGTCATATCAAACTGTAGCCATCTCTGGGTGTGCTCTGATGCAGGTGCATTATAGGGAAAACTTGGTTTCTTCTCCTGTGCCATAGTGCGCTCTTACTTCATTGAAAGTACTATTACTAGCATGAAAGTAAGACTGAAATCAGATGCATGAAGCTAAAATGATGCAAATGTCGTCTTTGCCCTCAAATGATCTGATCATCTTTTCAGTGAGTGGAGGGTAGGTTAGTAGCTTCTTGGCTACTTTTAAAGTTAGAAGATTCTTATAGAAAAGACATCATTTGTTACTGGGGTCTTCAAAACTCTGCTCATTTTCCTCTGTGTGAATCAAATGGGGAAGCGCTTCAGTTCTTGGAGGTGTGTGCCTTGAGGTCTTCTGAGGATTATCTGTAACTGCAGGTTCTTAGAAGTTTTGGGAGAGGGGGTGCTAATTAAGCTGGCATTATCATTGAAGGAAATGTTTATCAAACTCTTATTAACTATGTTAATGGGTCTGAGCTGCTGAGTTAGTTTATACATGTAAAAAATGTAAAACCTTAAGAATTAGTGTGAGATTTTCATTAGGCAATTGAGATGGAGTGAAAATTCTGCAAAATGATTTTTGCTTTTTTGAAAGCAGAATTTTATCAAGTATTTCAGGATAAAATACAGGATGGCTTTATTGCAGTAAATGTGACTTTACCAATTTACTTTTAACACTGAAAATTACTTGTTTTTTGTTGGTGTGGTCTTGTATACGTGCTTCTTTATTTAAAAACAACAAAAGAAACCACTGTGGGGTTTGTTCCCCAGTTCTTTTTTTCCTGCTAGGAAGTGTATGGTGAATTTTTTCAAAAAAGGCATAGGAAATAAGTAACTGGTATGCTGACTTAAATATCTGATCTTTTCTGAATATTTAATCTCTAAGATGATATGAACCATTTTGTTCTGATAATTAGTAAGCAGTCAGAAATAGAGTATGTGTTAATATTTTACATAACTAGTATCTGAGAAATGTCTTCATGTAGAAGAGGTCAGTGCTACCCTATCAGTTTGTCACTGTGCATTAACTGCCTGCAACTTGCCGCAAAGAAGTCTCTTACGAATGAGAAAATATAATTTTCAGTAAATTTCCATCAGAATCCTAATTTGAAACAACTGCTTACAGGCAGTTAGACTTTATTAATAAATGAACATATTCCTTGATTGTAAGTTTAAGGTATGAAGATATCATTGAGGTATAGCTCTGGGGAAGGCTTTTGTTCACTACAGTAATATAGCTGCTGTCATAGCAAGAATAGAGAATATCTTCACTTACAGATGTAGACAAACATTAACATCAGGGAACCAACTTCACCACAATGTTGACAACACAGGGACATCCAACTCTTATCTGTAACTCATTTAAACCATAGCTGTATAGCTCCAAGAAACTGCAAGCTAATGTGATACAGAAGTGCTATAAATATTTTTTTTACCAGTCAGCTGCTCTTACTAATGAGTAGAGCATGAAGCGGAATCTTTTTTCAGTTGTGTGCTCATGCAGTGACAAGCGTGTTACATGCAACTCCTGTGGATAAGAGGTCTGAAGAGTGGTTATGGGGAGTGCTGTTGGCACTGAACCTTGGATTTTTTAATCTTCCGGAAACATGGAGTCATCAGCTGTCAATCTGATACAGGTTACTGGCACAAATGTCATGCTTCCCTGTTCAGCAAAGTAACTTGGGAAATTTTAGTACCAGAGTGAAACAATATACTTCAGTTCTTTTCTTACCTTCTTAAATGGCTCTATCTTAAATTTTTTTCATCAAAGGCTAGTCGCTTCTCTTATGTACTTCTCTTAGAGGTATTAATGTCTGGATCATATTGAAAAAGCCATCAGGAACCACTTTTATCCTCCTGATTATTTTTTCCTTGCCTATATTTGGTACTGTTACGCTGTGTTCTTGATTCAGGTTTAGCATTTAGCAATGTTTTGAAGGCTGAAACAAAATTTGACTGCTTCAGTGTTTTGTGGTGAATATCTGGTGCTGATGTTCAGAGGTCTTCATTAGATGCCTTTGAACTTCAGATTGCACCACGGTGGTCAGCACTTTATGGAGACAGCTTCCTGTGTTGTCTTCAGATTTTTATGGAATCCCTTGACCGTCTTGACAAAATATTTTATGACGTTTTAATGCTGTCACTTTTAAGGATTCTTGGAATAAGCAACTGCTAGTATGTTTGAAAGGACTTCCATTTTAAAGGTAGATGCAGAAACTTGGTTTGTTGTTCAACAGAAGGGTTCACAGTAATGCTGTCCTCCAGAAATAGTGCTGCTTCAAGGGTGTGCTTATTTGAGTTCTACAAAAAGTAGAGCTTGACTTTGGGCAAGTGTTTATAGATGGAGCAGAAACTTTTATCTAGGAAAAAAACTGGTTGAGGACAAAGGACTGAGAAATAAGCTTGAGTATTTGTTCTGGTCAGAATGGTCTGAGTTTAGTGGTTTTTTACAAAAAACCGGACTGGAGGCATTTTCTGTTTCAAAGGTTTGGCTTGCCTTTTTACCAGATATGCTCTGCTTTCGTAGGACAGCATTAGCTCATTCTATTTTTTGTAAGCCATTGTTTCTTTTCAAAGATGTGAGTTTCTGCCTGCTATGCTCTTTCCTTAGTTCAGCTAATACAGCTAGAATTCAATGATTTCTCAAGCAGACATGGGTCAACTCACCTTGAGTTTAATGACTTGCAAACAAGTTCTTTTGGTTTTAAAATGTATTATGTTTCCAGTCTACCACAGTTCAGTTCTGTTGAACAACATAGCTTGCCTTTTTGATAGGACGTAAAGGGTACAGGGAATCAAATACTATGCTATTACTGGGCTTCTTTGTCAAAGGCTTCAAAATAGCTTTCTATGATATCAAAGCCATGAACACAGACTACTGTGAAGCACATGTTCCTTAAAGATATTTCAGACACTGTGTGAAAGTCTGCCCTAATGGGGAGCTACATTAGTGAAGAAAACTTCTCCCAAAGGTCTTGAAAGTACAAGTAAAGTAGCTATATTTTAGTGCAATCATTTTATACCCTTTTTTGTGAATTCCTGTATAACAGATATACATCTTCTATTTAATTTAATAGTGATGCAGTATTGTGATTTCACTGGTTATGCAGTGAAATACTCTCTGCAACAAAGAGGAGTAGCTGACTACTTACAATGTGAAGTACATACGCTTTTTTTTGCAGGAATGTTGGGGGGGGAAAAAAGCAACTGCTGTAGCCAGGAGCAGGTTTTTTAAAGTTGCATTGATACAGCTCTTAAATTTGCCTCAGGCCAGCATAGGGGTGTTTGCTGTTGAGATCGTGTGTGTGTAGCTACATTCTTCAGTTAAATCATGGATTAAGTATTAATCATCAAGGACACTAATTTTCTTTTGTCATCTTTTTAAGTTTACCGTCAGAGCTTTCTCTTGTTAGCTACTGCTCTTACAATAACTTAAAACATGCAGTATTGAGACCGAGTTGACTTTAGGCAAGCTTTCCATTAATGGAAAATTTAAAATGGAATCACTGTATATGTTTAATGAAGGTTGGTCATGTTTATAGTTGGAGTTAGTAGCACCACTTACTATGATTGCCCTGATTACTCATTTAAAGGACCTACTCTTTAGTTCCTTATAACTTTGTCAGACTTAATTGTTAGACCAAAATTTCCCATGTAAGTTTGCTTATTTTAGCTGTATATTCTGGAGAGTTTCAAGAGTTTCACTAAGTTTAATCAAGAACAAGGTGAAGGGAAAAGTCATATAATACCTGACCATTTTTTCGTAGAGAAGCAGTGTCTCCATACCTTTTAGTAGAATATAAAAATGAAAGCAGCATCCTTTTCCTGTTCCTCTGAATACAGAAAGTTAGAACATGCACTCGATCAGGTTTTGTCCTTTTCATTAGGAGCTTCTGCTTGCTTCTACTAGTGGTTGATTGTCCCTGGGGCTGTCCTTAAACACATTGTAGATGCTCGGCATCCTTTTGATCAGACTGAATGAACAGTCTCTACCTCGATCAGGCTAAGCACTTCTGCGGAGTGCTAAGCATCATTCAGTTGAGGACTGCAGGACTGAAACTCTGTAAATAAGTAATAGTTGGGCTATGCTACAAATGAGTTGAGAGGGCATGGAGTTGTCTCTTCCTCACATCCTATACTTTGACGCAAACCTGAACAGCAGCAATAAAGAAGGAATGTAACTCAAGTGTGGAGGGATTGCAGCAGGAAGAGGCACAAACTTATTCATAGAATTTGAGGCTGAAGAAAAAATGCAGAGATGAGACAGAAAGAAAACTGACAGTTGGGAGATAAAGATTGAGCACAGGCTGGGATGGGATCAAGATGGAAATTGAAGAGCAGGAGGGGGGAGCGGGATAGCCTGGAAGGAAACTGGGAACATTAATTTGCTTGGGCAGAAATAGGAGGATTGACCATCTGACAGATGGCTCCAGAGAAAAATTTTGGAACAAGAAGCCAGGGCAGGTGTTGAGCAGCCTGTGATTGAGAAAGCAGGGAAGGAAGCTGAATCAAGAAGTAAGTCGGCTGCAAACTTGCTAAGATGGAAGATCAAGTCAGAGGAAGAAATGGAGAAGCTGGGTTGTACTCAGCAGTCTGAAGTGGAGCCTAGAACTAGATAGGTGGAGCAGCGTGTGGGAAGAGGGGCCTCGAGTTCTTGGTGACAGACGGCATTTGTACCAGGTCTGCTGGACAAGGGTGTGCAGCAGCTACTCTTGTCAGTCGTGACCCAAGAAGCCAGAGCAATGGTTCTAAAACTTTCAGCCCTGCTTGAATTCTGTATCAGCCTGAAGCAGTCCAATTGCTTAAAGACACCCAACATGTTTTGATAAGTATGAAATTACAAACATTTGATAGGGTTAATGTTTTTGAGCTGTAACTTTGCATGAGTTTTGCAAACTGTTTGCCTTCACAGTATGCATTAATGCTGTATGGTATTGACTAATACTAGTCAATAAATAAACTGCCATCAATAGTATCATTCTACAGTACCTTTGTGTCATTTAGTGCAACACTTAGTGTTCAGTTTTTCAGTGCTTATGCTTCAAAATGTGACTGTCTCTTATTTCTCATACGCTACTGAAATCCTGTTGTGAAGCTAGAATTTACTTCTTTAGAGGTAGTACTTATCATAAATATTTTTGACTGATCTTCAAAATACGCCTGTTATCAAAGAAACTCCCATCCCAGATTGAGAGTAAAGATACTCCTGTGTATCCTTCCTACACTTCCTGTGGGAAGATTGAGAATATGCAGTCATTTTCATTGGCTATTTTGAGATGTTGAGAAATAGATTATTCTAATCTTTTTTTTTTTGTTATCTGGCTCCTTCTATTTAAAGTGGCTTCCACCAAATAGAATGTTTAGGTTCTGTGTACAGACTGAACTCTCGTAGAAAAAGCTACCATTGGTAAAACTTCCATTACCAAGCACAAAGAAGCTGAATTACCATCATGTCTTATTTCTGACGCTGTCTCACGTTAATGAACATGCTTAGAAAGATTCTGTTGAGGGTGAACATATACAAATAATATATAATATTTTCACAGTGGGATCTGAACTCTTGTCCATAGCATTTTCTTTTTTCTTAAATTTTACAGGTGACCCTCTTGCTAGAAAAACAAAATAGTTTTTAGCAGTTGAGAACTTCATGCAGTGACTAGTCAAAACCTGTGTATGATTGCAAAATGTTGTTTCATTTGCTTTTTAAGAATATTAGCCACCTCTTCATTTCTGGAAATGGTTATTTCATCATTTTTCTTTTCACAGGCTCTGAAGAAGACTCGGCCCAGATCGTTGAGACAAATGAGACAGATGATAAAGCACCAAGTCCTGCGCAGCTAAATGATAAGCTAGCTGAAGAAGTTGAAAAAGAAGAAGCAGAAAACATTTCAACAACTGAAGACTCTATTTCAGAGTCTATTTCAGCTGAACAAAGTGAAGAATCTTTAATGAAAGCAGAATAAAGTACTTCAAGTGCCTTCTGTAGCTAGTTTTTAGCTTTGTTCATGCCTGTTGTAACTATTCAGGTGAGCTTTTTTTTAATGGTACAACTTAAAAATCTCGCTTGTGCTTAAACTGCCTCAACTGCCACAGTATGTCAAAGCTATGTATAAAAGTGGGTATTGTAAATTAAGCATGTGTCGTTAAATAAGTTAACACACGGAATGTATAGTTGGTTGAAGTCTAACAGTCGTAGCCATCATTCAGTTTGCGTATCTAAAAACTTAAAAGTATAAGCTTTGCTAAGGGTGACCTATAATTTGACATCTCTTTAGCTGTCACACATAGAGAGAAATTACTGGCAGCAACTGACCTAGTGAGTTTGGTCTAGTGAACTTAAGATACTTTTTAATGCTTCCCTGTTAAAATGAATTGAATACATTTTAAATACACAGATGTTTACAAGCTAAAGTGTCATCCGACATTTGACTTAAGCATATGGAAGTGTCATTGCAGTGATGTTAATGTTATTCATTGTCTAACTTTTTGACAGAATTTAGTTAAATGGCACTCAGACAAATGGCATCTCCTTTGGTATTTGCATTGCAGATGAACCAGAGGCACGTACATAAAAACTGTTTTGTGTTTACATAAAATATAGAAAGTCTCTGCACTTGATTGTACTTGAATACAACGCACTATTTATATCTGTACAATAATGACAAGATATAAGTGAATTTTGTGCCTTTGTGTATTTTGTTAAAGGAAAATAAAGACATCTAGCAGCAATACTTGCTTTGTGATTCCTAAAACTGAAGAGAATTTCTGTTCTGCTGTATGCAGCTATTCTACAGTTACTTTGTGGAAGTTCAGAAGGAATATGACACCTTAAAAGGAGCATGTCTATATGTAGCTAAGGTGGCTTTGACAAAATAGAAATAGATCCCTGATCAATAGGGGAAGCACACGTGTTTTGCCAAAAGACTTTCCTAACTGTGCCTAAAGTCTTATACTCTTTAGTGTTAAAATTACAATGAATATTTGCTGCTGGATTACTGAAACTGTACTTTTTTTATTGTATAGCTTTTCAAGCTAAGGACACTTGTTATACATTTTCCTGTTAAATATAACAGTTGGGAACCTGGACTAGAATTTTTCTGGTCCCTGGATTTGAGGTACCTAAATCAATCAGATTTTTTAAAAAATAAATGCTGACCATTGTAACTTGGTTTATTTAGTTGTAGTTCTGATAAAAGTTTTATTCTACATGATGTTCTCTATACCTCACTATAGGGAGAGAAGGAGACACTTCAAAACCATTCTTTTTATCCATGGTCTTGGTCCCAAAGTGAACTGGTTTTACAGTGTAAAGGCAGCAAAAACTTAAATCTTAGTAGCTCAAAAGCCCTCTACAAGAAAAACATGTTTCTAAATGTGACCTTAGTATCCATGTCTTTATATGAGATATAATTATTACATGAACAGCAATGATTAATTTTCTTTTCCAAATACATGCTTTATTTTCTGATTCGTTGGAGTTAGTTTAGAAGCTCAACCCTTACATCAGTCAGAATCAAGTTTGGTCTGTATTTAGATAAATGAGGAAATTTTTTTCTGGTTCACTAACTAAATTGCAATTCATATTTTAATTAGTAGTCTTCATAGACAGAATGTAGGCATGTAATTAAAGGAGTACTTGTAGGTGTTTGGCTATATTTATATGAACAACAATTAGTAAAAACAGGTAACCGTCTTGTGCGTGACTATCTTAGTTGAGAAGACAAAGAAAATAGTCGCTTTTCCAAACATGTCTTAGGATATTAGAAAAGTACAGGGTACAAAGTGATAGACGAATGCATTCTTTAATATTTTAAGAGAATGTATTTTATATTCTAGAACTTCTTTAAAATAGAAGTAATTTTGCCTGAAAAGATGACAAAGCTTACTCATTATTTTGTAAGACTTTCAGATGTTAATCTCTACATTGCATTTTGTACCTCACTGATTTATCTGTTTAAAGGCTGATTTCTTTGGAGGAAAAAAAAAAAATCACAGAATATTTCAGTAATTCAGCACAGTAAGTTGTTGGATGTACTTACATTATAAGCACTAAAAACAAGTAAAATTTGATGTTATGATCCCTCATATGGGATATGAATGCATGAATTACTGTCACTTCAGAAGTTAAGATTACTCTAGGCCCATGTATTACTTTTAAAAATTTGTATCTTAAGTGTCAGGCTTTTTGTAGAGTAATTTTAGGTCCTTCCCATGACAAGCAACCACTGAGCTGTAATGCATATACTATCTATTGAATTGACTGAGAAAATAATCTGTTGATATTGGAGCTATATATTAAAATTTTTTCATTAGCCTGGAAAATATCTATTTTCAGATGTCCTGCTTTTGCCAAGGAAACTGATGCTTCTTAGGTTGGGAATCTGAATTTTTTTGAAAGAGGAGACTCAGTATCTGGTATTGGGTGGGAGGACGGGAAAGCATTATTTCTCCCAACGTTCTTAAATGTGACATTAGCAAGTTGCCACAGGAATGATTGATACTTTCTGTTTAATATGTCACTGAAGAATCAAGTAGAGACAGTCAACCTGATGTGAAAACAAATACTTGTTAAAATGTGAAAACCTAGCTTTATGAGACCTAAGACTACCTAGAATTTTTGAGGAGGGGAAGAATAAGTGAGTTTTCAGCACATGATAGAGTTTTCCTGAAAGGCTTTCATACTAAAAAAAGTGTCCAAGCAGTCGTTCCCATTAATTGCTTTAGAAGGCTTGAAAAAGATGTTAAGGACGCCCTGGTATTTTGGTAGAGAAAGATCTATTTTTAACTCTATAATTTTTCAGGGTTTTAAAGCAGCTATAGTAAATGAGGGTAGAGGGTTAATTAATCCTTGAGTGAATTCAGGTTCAGGGAGATACATATGGTCTCTGGGCTTTCCTCAATTTACAGTAAGCATTCACATGTTACTTCTGCCAAGTCTGTGTGCCCTAGTCCTGATACGAATGTGAGAAGAGGATTCTGTTTCTGCAGCAGTTGCTTCTTGGCTTCTGTCTACTGCAAGCGTGGCAATAGTAAAAGACACCTGTCCAACAGGAATTGGATTGAAATCCAAAAATACCTGTCAATAAACAGCAGTAGCCACACTTAGTCATGTCTTTCTCAAAAACTTGGAAGTAGGAGTATGTAGAGCAAAAAGGTACAGCAATTGTCAGTGATACTTAACCCAATTGGAGACTCAATCTCAAAAGATGAGAAGATGGAAGAAAGTAGGGGGAAAATACAACAAATGCTATGGTTCCATCTTTTGTTGTCTTCTGACTTCCTAGTATGTACTTGAATCTTAATTTTTTCAAAAGTACTTAAAAAAGCCTGGTCCTGTGATGGACGAGTGAGTAGGCTAGAGAAAACTGTTCATTATTCAATAGTTAAGTCTGCTATTAAAAACTTCAAAAGGCTTAATCTTTATAAAGTCTGAACATATTCAGTACGAGAGTCCTAGATGTAAAAAAAGTTCTTCTAAATAAGCTGCTTCCGGAGTGAGGTTTTGTTAGATCTTCCACAATGAGGAAGACTGTCCATGGGGTAAGGAATGGCCTCTCTTGTGAATGTTTCACTAGAACAACAACCTTGAAGATTCATTTTGCGCCTTTGTTGGCAAATAATCATTTGACCAGTTCAGTGAGTGTTCTCAAGCAAAATCTTAGGCCCTCATTTCCTTCCATGTCTTGCAGATTGGTTTTTTTTGCCTAGTATCTCTAAGATGTTCTTTCCTGTCCAGTCACATGGTTAAAAGTTAGTGCCTCAGATGTCAGCGTCTCATGTTTCAATTACTTTCTTGAATTGATAAATGCAAATCTATCCAGATTCTGGTGTAGCAAGCCTCTGAAGTTTCACATGTATGTAGTGTATAGAAGACTGTATAGAAGACACATCCTTAATACAAACTAATTTAAAAAAAGGCTACGAATACATCAAGTGCGTGAAGACAGGAGGGAAGTAAGTTTTCCACGAATAAACTCAGACTGGAAGTTTGAAAGTTCCTAATGATTTGGACAAATAGCCTTGCAGGAGGCATTAGATTTAAAATGGAGTTTGAGAATGAGAGGGCAACAGATTACTCTGTGACTAATGGATTCTTTCTAATGGTGTGTGTGCCTTTCCTGTTTTCACTTAAGAATGTATTAAATGACAGGATCTGTGTGATGGTTCCTGGAGGAGATTTTTGGCTGTTGTCAGAAAGTTTTGATTCACTGAAAGGAAAGTGTTTGTGAAACTGTTAATTACTGATCTATGGCAGTGCTCCTTTCTTCCAGCATGTGATCTTTAGGTGGAGTTCACAGGTCTCAAGTTTGTGGAGGGTGATGAAGGTGAGGAATTACAACCAATTCTAATGCTAATGTTCCCATGGGGCTGATGGGCATAGGGCTGTTGGCTTCCAGGTCTTGGTGCGTAGTAAGGCACCAAAACTTCTGTCAGAGGACAAACTGTAAACTTCTGTCAGAAGTGTGCCTTACTTGAGATTGTATCTGGTAGCCTGGAATTAAGTGTACTTCATGCTCTGAAGGAAGGAGTAAAAGGATGCATCCCGAGTACGTGGGAATTTCTTAGCACTTGGTCTTTACTAGGGGTTCGTTTACATAACAAATAGAATAAGTTATAATAGTGTTTAAAAATAAGAACTGCTGCCCTCCAGCATTTAAAAAAAATAAGTTGAGTTGTCCCTTAAGATCGTGAGTCTCAAGGAATTTGACTTCTCTTCACCATTGCTTTTGATTTGTGAACCTCTCTGGGGTCCTGTCAGGTCACATTCAATCTTTTCTCTGCAAGAATAAGACCTAGAGAGGTGTATGATGGGCAGGATAGAGAAAAAGGTTTTAAAATGAAAAGTATTGATTATACAATAATTTGCTCCCAAACCGTGGGGTTTTGAGATTAAAGCAAACACTTCTAAGGTTCTTGATAGATTATCTAACTTGGCAACAGTGCAAAATCTAAGGCACTGAATCATAATATAACCCTTTCAAGGTTGCATAAAATCAATTTGATCATGACTTAATTTTTGCATAGAAGGGATTGTCCTGACCGATTCTCATAATACTAGTTATTTCTCACTGTAATCACTGTAGGAACAGACCTACTTCAGGACTGCTTCTGTATGTACCTAGCGTTGTACTGCTAGGATTCTCAGTGAACAATTACTAACGTTTTTCAGGAGGGCTTCATAAGTCTTTGCCACTGTGAAATCATGTATTCTCCTTTTATTGTGTGACAAAAATAATTTGCAAAAGGGAGATTGCAACTGCCAGAGAGAAACGCATGCAGCAAAATCCTGAAATAATCAGA